CAGCTGGTGAATCTCAGCTCATTCCACCTCCACTTTCTGGGTTCAAGCAATTCCTCTGCCTCAGCCTCCTGAGCAGCTGGGATTACAGGCATGGGCCACCACGTCCAGCTAATTTTTCTATTTTTAGTAGAGAGGGTGTTTCGCCATGTTGGCCAGGATGGTCTCGGACTCCTGACCTCAAGCAAGCTGCCCACCTCAGACTACCAGAGAGCTGGGATTACAGGTATGACATCACCGGGCCTGGCAGGCACACTGCATCCTAATATGCAAAAGCATTAAGTCTATGAGGGTCATTCATTCTGCAATTTTTTTTTTTTTTCATGAAATGTAGTTTCACTCTTGTTGCCCAGGCTGGAGTGCAATGGCACGATCTTGGCTCACTGCAACCTCTGCCTCCTGGGTTCAAGTGATTCTCCTGCCTTAGACCCCCAAGTAGCTGGGACTACAGGCATGCATCACCACGCCAGGCTAACTTTGTATTTTTAGTAGAGACAAGGTTTCTCCATGTTGGTCAGGCTGATCTCGAACTCCTGACCTCAGGTGATCTGCCCACCTTTGCCTCCCAAAGTGCTGGGATCTGCAAATATTTATTGAGCAAGTATTCTACGTGTCTGGCGTTGTTGTAGGCACTGGAGGAAAAGGTAAATTTCCTGTCTTCACGGAGCTTACCATGTATTTGAGAATATATCTGAGAACAAAATAAAATTAATCTCAGTACATGCAAGCTCCAAAGAATTAAAGCAGGGTAAGGGGCTGAGAGTAAGAGAGGTGCTCTTCAGTGATGCCTCATCTAAGAAGAATTCTGAGCAAAGACAAGGAAGAACCAGACAAGAAAAGACGTGTGTGAGGAGAGTTCCAGGCAGCCCAAACCTCAGGTGATCCGCCCACCTTGGCCTCCCAAAGTGGTGAAACTCCGTCTCTACCAAAAATACAAAAAATTAGCCGGGCGTGTTAATTAAAAATTAGTGGTGGCGTGGGCCTGTAATCCCAGCTACATGAGAGGTTGAGGCAAGAGAATCGCTTGAACCTAGGAAGCGGAGATTGCAGTGAACCAAGATAGTGCCACTGCACTCCAGCCTGGGAAATGGGGCACGACTCCATCTAAAAAAATAAATCATCCTTACCACTGTACTGAGAGGTAAAAAATAAAAATAAAAAAATCAATACTGTTTCTCTCTCTTTAAATAAATCACTTTCTACAAAAAAAAAAAAAAAAAAAAAATCAATAAATAAAGACATGTTCAAGGCCAGGTGTGGTGGTTCAAGGCTGGGTATGGTGGTTCAAGGCTGGGTATGGTGGCTCAAGCCCCTAATTCCAGCACTTTGGGAGGTCAAGGCAGGAGGACTGCTTAAGGTCAGGAGTTTGAGGCCAGCCTGGGCAACACAGCGAGACCCTGTGTGGTGGCACATGCCTATAGTCCCAGCTACGTGGGAGGATTGCTTGAGCCGAGGAGTTCAAGGCTGCAGTGAGCTATGATCACGCCACTGCACTCCAGCCTGGGCAACAAGAGTGAAACTGTCTCAAAACAAAAACAAAACAAAACAAGACCATGTTCACAGGGAGTTGTTAAGTACGTACTGTTGGCTACTTTCCTAATGACTGAAAATAATGATTGCCTAACCATCCCCTTTTCAATAGGGTTGTACAGTCCAATGGGGCATACTCATTTCACAGATGATTACAGGCTCGGGGATGGGGGAGGGAATCCCTTAGTAACCCTTTATTTTTGGAATGGAAAAAAAAGGTGGTTTGACGGGACCAAATAGTTGAAAAACTAAACTTTTTGCCAACCCTATTCAGCAGGCAACGAAGGTGTGCTTCTAAACTCCTCGGCACAGGGCTGACTGGGAGGACTCGAGTTTCAGCCTGCACAGCAGGACCTTCATCCGCTCGTAAAGCTTTCACCCAGCTTGAGGGCTGCAGAAAGCACTCTTAGTCCGCAGCCAGTCCACTCCTACTCTGGGAAATGCATACAAAGCAAGCAGTCCCCAGAGCAAGCGTGGCGCACAGTAGGCTCCCAGTGAGGGGCGACGCAGGACACAGGGGCGGAACACGTGCGGTGGACCCACAGAAGGCAGGCGCGGGGAAGCAGTGGCACCGTGAAGGGCTTCAGGGAAAAGGCCGGTTTTCGTCTGACGGAGGGACAAGAGTTTAGGGAGCGTCCGGGGCAAAGAAAGGGAGAAGTGGGAAGAGGCCCCCCGGGAGACAGCGCCGCGCGGGGAGGAGGAGAGCGCGCGGGCGCGGCTCCCCCTGACGACGGGCCGGGCAGAAGGCGGAGGGCGAAGGGCATGGGAAGCGGTGAGCAAGACGCGGCGCCTGCACCGCCGAAGCGCAGGACTCGAGGAATTGCAGCCACGCTCCAGCAGGCGCGATCCGTAATGGAGGCGCCGCGGGCTCCGACCACTGCGGAGCCGCCTTCCCAGTCCGCACTGCCTCTCGGGGCGGAGCCCTGGGGCTGGGGCTGGGGCTGGGCCTGGGGCCCGGGCCAGGCCGAGGGCTGGCCGAGGAGCCCCAGCTGCCGCAGGGAGGCCGCGCACTTACCCGGAGCCTGGGAGCGCGGGCGCGGCGTGGGGCGGGCGGCGAGGTAGCCTGCGCTCCGCTTGGGGCGCAGGAAGGCGGCGAGGGCCACTCGGAGGAGCCAGCGGCTAGGGCGGCCGGGCAAAAGCAGCGCGTTCCGAGCCACGGACCCGATGCGCTCGCGCGGACTCACAAACGACCGGGCTCGCACACGTGCGGCGTTGCGACGCGCCGTGGTCGGGCCGGACCCGCCCTGGGGGTGGAGCCCGCTCCCCACCGCCGCCCCTCCCCCGCCCCACCCCCACGCGGACGCCGGGCCTGTGCGCGCTCACCCCGGACCTCCCACGCGCCCGCGCCTGGGTCGCACCTGCGGCAGAAAGAGATTTCACCAAGTATCTGAGACCTTTAAATCTTTAAGAAGTCTAAGGCAGAGATTGCCTCCTTTGGTGTTATTATATTCTAAGAAGTGTTTCCTCCACATAGTTGTCGCCTTTTCATGTTGCACTGACCACGCAGTTAACAGTAATGAAAGGAAATTCACTTTAGGGTCTAAATATTGGTCTACATTTGATCTGGAAATGCAGTGGATCTAAGCGCACCATCTTGCTACTTCCTACCGTTCTTGCTTGATGGCTCCCCATAGGATCTGCTTCAAGAAACCTGATCATAGGTTTGTTTTTGTTTTTGTTTTTATTTTGACAGTCTCCCTCTGCCGCCCAGGCTGGAGTGCAGTGGCGTGAACACAGCTCAGCGCAGCCCCGACCTCCGAGGCTCAAGCAATCCTCCCACCTCAGACTCCCCAG